TCCATAGGACTGAGCCGGTGGAAATTAAAGCGGTGTCAAGCTGCTTTATTTCTGCAGTGGGGCAGCAGCTCTGAGTCCAGGGCTGGACATCCTACTCATATCTACATGGAAGTTATGTCTCCTTGTATTCGGGTGGACTTCTCGTTGTGTACTTTCAAGTCGTTTCTGACTTATGGCAACCCTAAGGCGAACCTACTATGGGGTTTACTTGGCAACTTTCTTCACAGAGTTTTTGCCATTGCCATCCTCTGAGGCTGAGAGAGTGTGACTTGCCCAAGGTTACCCAGTGAGTTTACATGGCTGAGCTGGGATTCGAACCCTGATCCCCAGAGTCCTAGTCGTATGCTCAAACCACTACACCAAGTAACAAGTGTGCCTAGGATTGAAGTCTTAGGTCCAAAACACGCTGTAGAAATAATCCAGTTTGAGACCGCTTTAACTGCCCTGGCTCAATGCTAGGGAATTCTGGGAACTATAGTTTTGTGAGACATTTAGCCTTCTCTGTCAGAGAGCTCTGGTGCCACCATAAACTACAATTCCCAAGATCCCCTAGCACTGAGCCAGGGCGGTTAAAGCGGTCTCAAACTGGATTGTTTCCACAATGTGTTTTGGACTACAGAAACACGTCTGTAAGTGCATAATCTCCTTCTGTGCTTGCATTTACTTTTTAAAAACCCAGTTACCAACAAGACCTGCTCCCAAGAGAGAGGTAGGATAACAATTTCAGAGGGCAGCCTTAATTCTCTTGAAATCCGGAAAAAAATTCACTTTCACCCCAAGTACTTAGGATAGGCGTCTGCCCTAAATATGTTTGCTTAGAGGTAAATGGCGGTGAAAGCAGGGCAACTTGTTTCAAAGGAAGTATAGCCCACTAGGTGACCTTGGAAAAGTCACACTGTCTCAGTCTCAGTGGAAGGCAATGGCAAACCTCCTCTGAACCCCAGGATGGGTTCGCCTTAAGGTTGCCATAAGTCGGAAACTACCTGAAGGCACACAACAACAACAGCAACAACAATAACAACAACCATGCAGAGGAGTGGGGTTTTAGATAGTACAGTCCAACAAAGAGGATATGAAGAAAGCAAAAGGAGGAAGGGTCGTCCTAAAGGGCTTAGGATCCCTGTCTAAGGGGGGTTGCAGACTGCCAGAAATAGTGCAAATTGAGTCCACTTTTAGGGTTAGGGTTAGTGCTAGGGAATCATGGGAATTGTAGTTTTCCTGAGACATTGAGCTTTCTCTGTCAGAGAGCTCTGGTGCCACAATAAAATACAGTTCCCATGATTCCCTAACCCTAACCCTAACCCTAAAAGCGTCCTGAGCCATTAAAGCGAATTATTAGGATTAGGCTGAGAGAAGGGGAAAGGGGCAGACCAGGGAAAGCCTCCCTGTAGTTGTAGTTTAATATCGGTTTTAAGTGAATTTTCACAGCCCTGAGGCCATGCAGCTAATTTAGGAAGGAAGCATAATCAAACCCGGATCCTAAACACCTTTATTTCGGATGACATTCTTTAGGTTAGAAATATTCCAAAATGTTAGAAACTAGGAAAATGACAATGATGACCAGATATTCCAAACTTGTCACCAGGAAGGCTAACCGAGATATATGGATAAACAAGAGTAGAGTAATATTTCTCTATATAACAATAAATATAGTGTTGATTTGTTACCAAATTCCCAGGGGCTATAATGATTAATGAGTAATTAAATTTCTTAACACTCCTTTTCCAGGTGCATTTACAACAGTTAAAATATACAAAATAAGCAAGCAAAAACTGTAAACAACGAACTAAATGCAGTTGCTAGTGCCAAATAGATTGGACGCAGTGAACACTAAATCAACACTTATGTAAATCCTATTGATTCAGTGGGTCTACTTTCTCTGGAGCTTGCAAATGGATTTAGCTCTGTACTGATAACCTAAAACTACTCTCTTCCTTGTCCCTCCCAAACGATGCTGCGGAATCCTAGGATGCATCTACACTGTAGAAATAATACAGTTTGACACCACTTTAACTGCCATGGCTCCATCCTACAGGACTCTGGGGTTTGTAGTTTTGTGAGGGGCCAGCACTCTGGCAGAGAAGGCTAAAAACCTTGTAAAACTACAAACCTCAGAATTCCACTTAAAGTGGTGTCAAACTGCACTATTTCTACAGTGCAGATGCACCCCACGAGAAATGTGCTTAAAATTAGAGGCTGGGGTTTAAATAGGACTAGAAAGATACTAATTATAGTAAGCCAAAGATATAGCCGTGTTAGTCTGTAGAATCAGTATGTAGAGACTAACTGAAATAAAGAAGTTGGCAGAAGGAGCTTTTCTAGATTTAAGCCTACTTCCTCAGATGCATTAAGGGCCTAAGCAGACTGCCAGAAATAGTGCACATTAAATCGAGGCACTGCCCTGGCTCAGTGCTAGGGAATCATGGGAACTGTATTTTTTTCTGAGACACTGAACCTTCTCTGTCAGAGAGCTCTGGTGCCACAATAAATTACAGTTCCCATGATTCCCTAGCACTGAGCCAGGGCAGTGCCTCAATTTAATGTGCACTATTTCTGGCAGTCTGCTTAGGCCTTAAGTCTACTTTCCCAAATGCATCTAAGGAAGTAGGCAGAAGTCTACGAAAGCTCCTGCTGCCAACTTCTTTCTTTCAATTAGGCTCAAAGGGGCTACAGGATTTCTCGATATGTAGTAAGTAGGTCAGTAGCCTTAGTGTAAATATTCAATGGGTCTGTTTTCAGTGTGCAAACGGGATGTAGCACCTTTAAGGCTTTACTGAGCAAAAGATGTTGTAGCATAAGCTTGCTACCTCAGATGCACAACTAGTTTAGCATAGCCTCAAAGGTATTCAAAACTGTAAGTAGCCAGAAATAGTGCAAATTGAGTCCACTTTTAGGGTTAGGGTTAGTGCTAGGGAGTCATAGGAATTGTTTTGTTTTTTTTCTGAGACATTGAGCCTTCTCTGTCAGAGAGCTCTGGTGCCACAATAAACTACAGTTCCCATTATTGTGGGTCGAGTCCAACAGAAGTTTGTTTTTCTGGGAGATTCCAGGTTTGGGCTCTTCCTCCTCGCTGGTTTTCTTTGACCTGGGCTTACCTGGAGCAAGGAAGGAGCTTTCACTTCGGTTTCCTAGCAAGCTCCCGGTTTTAAGGAATTTGGGGGCATGCAGGAACTCAAGCGTCCTGAAGGTGTTGCAGTTTGGCGAAGTTACTATTTTGTCTGGGAGATTCTGCGATTTATAGCCTATAAAAGTAACCCTTCCCAAAACTCTTGGATGTAGTGGTCTCTTATCCGGAGTAGCAATAGTAGTAGTTGTTGTGTGCCTTCAAAGCACGCAACAAAGTTAGGTTTGTGAGAGCTGGCCCATTGCGTTGAGTTGGGCTTAGAAGCACAATCCTTTGTATGCAAAGGGATCTTGTAGTACCTTTCAGAGAAAGAACTGAACTGAAATCCCAAAAGTGCTTCAAGATCCCTTTACTTACTGATGTTCCAGATTAACATGGTTATGTCTTTGAATCCTTTGTATGTTTATCCTGAAGAAAGTCCCATTAACTTCAATAAGGGTGAAATCCTATGCATTTGCCTAGGATCAAATTCCTTTTAATGCAACAGAGCTTAATTCCGAGGAGACGTGGAAAATACTAGTCTTTAAGTGTATTTATCATTGTTAGCCTTCACTGGAATTCAGTCCAAGAGGAATTCACCCCAAGGTGATGCGAATTATTTTCAGATAGGGCTAAAAGCTAAGGGCTGCACTTGTAAGCAAGTTTACTCCCACTAAAATCAGTGAGGTAGAATTGAGAGATAAAGCCCTGTTAAGGGCCTTTGCAGACTGCCAGAAATAGTGCAAATTGAGTCCACTTTAACTGCCCTGACTCAGTGCTAGGGAATAATGGGAACTGTAGTTTATTGTGGCACCAGAGCTCTCTGACAGAGAAGGCTCAATGTCTCAGAAAAAAAAATACAGTCCCCATGATTCCCTAGCACTTAGCCAGTGCAGTTAAAGTGGACTCAATTTGCACTATTTCTGGCAGTCTGCAAGTTGTAGCATTCGTCTACTTCTCAGATGGACAATTAGTTTTGCACAGTTAATTTTAAAGGTGCTGGAAGATCCCTTTTCATAGTGAAATCAGTGAGGTTTGAGTCTGAGTAAGCATGGCTAATCAGGCTATAAAATGCAGTTGAGGTGCTTAAGCATAGTGGTTGGAGTGCAGAACTAGATTTTGGGAGAGGCAGGCTCAAATCCCCAGTTAGCCTTGAAATTCACTGGGTCAATCTTGGACCAGCCTCTCTATCTTTCAATCTAATCTACTTCCCAGGGTTGCTGTGATGAAGGGGGTAAACTATGTACAGTACAATCCCTTAAACTCCTGGAAGGAAACACAGGATATAAATGCCACCTTAGAATGCTAACTCAGAAGTCCCCCAGATTAAATGGGACGATTTCTTAGTCCCCTGGAAAATTTAGGCACACTTACTTGGAAGTCAACCCCAGTCAAACCACTAGCATTGACTTCCAAATAGACCAGCATTGGGTTGATGCTTAAAGTAGTAGACTTCAAAGAAATAATAAATGTACTCCTGTTCTTTCAGCTACAGTTTCTGCTGTTACTCCTGCAACATTTTGGGCAACTTGATGATGCAGGTATTGAGTTCAAAGGTAACAGTCCCTGAAAGCAACCTAATGCTGTAAAGCAATGAAGACTAGATGACTTTGGAGGTCTCCTCAAAGCATAGGTCAGAAAAGTTATTTTGGAGCGACTTCTTGTTGTGTGCCTTCAAGTTGTTTCCGACTTATGGTGAACCTATCATGGGATTTTTTGGGGGGCAAGATTTCTTCAGAGGGTGTTTGCTTTTGCCTTCTGCTGAGACTGAGAGTGTGTGTAATTTGCCTAAGGTCACCAGGTGAGTTTCCGTGGCTAAGTGGGGACTCGAACTCAGATCTCCAGAGTCCTAGGGTGAATCTACACTGTAGAAATAATGCACCTTGACACCATTTTAAGTGGTGTAGCTCCATCCCATGGAATCCTGAGACCTGTAGTTTTACAAGAAGTGTTGGCGCTTCACAAAAGTACAAATCCCAGGATTGTGTAAGATGCAGCCCTGGCAGTTAAAGTGGTACCAAACTGCAATATTTCTACAATGTAGATGCACCCCTAGTCCAATATTCAAACCACTAGACCATTTTTCTGGCTTTCATTTTGAGAATACAACTCCCCAAATCCCTCAGCCCTAGTAGCTATGGTCTCAAAAATAAATTTGAGTTTACTTTTCCCACTTTAGTTTTCTATCATCTTCATCTTCTTCTACCCAACTCCGATGTCATTGACCTTGTAGAAGCAGGTTGTGTTTGTTGTTGTTGTTGTGTCC